TAATTTGATCGGTAGGTAACAAATTTTTTTTTAGTTATACACACTATTTTCATAAATTTACCCTTATTTACGTAAATATGTTAATCAAACTGAATTCCATTTATTGTTAGCATATACATTATTCTTATGTTCTTAAATAATTTTAAAACTCATAAATGCACTCGAGTAGATACAGAAAAATTAGTCTAGGCCACAAAGATTTGGTTAAATTAGGTTTTTTTGGTTAAATTAGGTTTGATATATGTTAAATGTGATTAATGAATTATGTTACGTTTTTACGTAAGCTTAATACAACTGAATCGATTCGAACTATTCTTTTTTTACGTGTCATATTAGATTTTACTCCAATTACTAAACCTAGGCACATCTAGTTTCATTCAACTCATGACTAACAAAAAAGTCATGATTATTTTGTGACATATTTCTCAACCTAATGTCTTCGTTTTTGTGAATTATTTTTATATTAGGAGACGTATAAGAATGATCAATTAGGTGAGTCATTTGATTTACGTGCGAGTCTCTAAAAGAAATCATTGTCAATTGGTGGATAGACATTTAATTTAATTTATTTTTTTAATAATTGGCAGTTAGTATCATTCAAAGATGAACCAAATGGATAATGTTTATATTTGTTAATTTTTTAAATAATAGTCAAGAATTTTCATAGAATTACCGACCACAAATCTAGAAGTTTGTTTTTTATTTTGTAAATCTCTCTCTGCTAATTATATCTAATTCAGTCAAACACTTTTGTAGTTAAGTTGTTTATCATTTTTTTAAGAATTGGACTTGGAGTCTTCGTATTTTTAATTTTTAATCTGACATTCTTATAATGAAAAAGAAAAAAACTTCATCTAATCCAAAGAAAGGAGCAGTTGATTTTTTTTTTTATTTAAAAAAAACAATAATGCACTTCAACTATTGATGAAAAAGAAAAAGAAAAAACACTATTGCCTCACCACTAAATATCATACGTTGACAAAAGAGTACTTTGCAGCATAAGTGTATTTACACTTTACTTTTTTTAATATTATACAAATAAAATTTTTTTTTTTGACATGGAAGAATAGATTGTTCATTTAACTAATTTGTTTGAAAAGAAATGGAAGTGGATTCCCTCCATTAGTTTTTTTATTCAATTCATCATCAAATGGTTATCAACGCATTACAAGTAAGTGATGTTTGGGAGATATTTAGAGAAAAATATTTAATAGAGAAATCCAAATCTTTAATTAAAATATATAATGATCAGGCAATATGAATTCTCTTTTTAATGTTTTGTGTGGAACGTTAGTTGACAAACCACAAAAAATTATAGCCAAGTAAATCAGTTATATTTTATAACCTTTTAAAATAGAAGAGCGATGATTCAAATTTTCATAAAGACAAATAGTTAGTGTGAGTTTCGATTGAAAAAAAAAAAAAAACGATTAGTTGACATGAAATCACATGAAGATTTCAACACAAAGATCATTGTCAATTTCTTAGAATAGACCAACATGCAATGTTAGGTCCCTATTTATACAATAATTGAGCATTAAAAGGTAGGAATTTGAGCTGTTTTCGCATCCAAATAAGAATTTGTTGAAATTTTGCTACGGGATACACATGTTGCTTGTTAAAAAAGGTATCCATTCCATCAAACGCAATTTATAACATTTTTATCAAAGGAGGTCTTTTAGCATGTGGACTTTTGTGTTACACAAATTGTGAGTTTGTGTACGTTTCTTTATATTTTGAAATTTATACTAAATAAATATTTATGATTTTTTAAATGTATCTGTAAAGAGAGGTAGAAGACATTTTCTTATAAGTGCTAACAATTTCTTCCCGTGTAATGGTGGAGGTAAAAATTTACTTCAAAGAGGACAATCATTTAAAAATAACATAATAAATATTTTTTTGAATCAAAATAATAAATAGAAAAGCAGGTGCCCTTTTTGAAATTTTATTTGTTAAAATTTTGTTGCATCAGTGGAGGAGAAAAAAATATGGGTCTTTTGAATTAGTTTTGGGAAAACTTGAGAGGGCCCTGAATTAGAAAATGAGGTTTTGTTTTTTAAAATTTTCACAAATTTTTTAAGGACTTTTGTGAATTTTTAAGGAGTTCAGTGGGGGCAGAATTACAATTATTAAAAATTGTATAGAAAATATAATTATGTGACAAGGCCAGTGGAGGTAGTTGCCCTTACTGGTCAAACGTGGCTCTGCTAGCGTTTCGAGGCGATGCGTGACATCACATACTCGTCATGTAAAGATGGTTTTTATTTATTTAGATGATAAACATATTTTTCATTCATTAATTTTGTTAACCATATGAGTAATAGGCAACAAATCTAAATATTCGACTTTTTGTGTCTATAAAGATTGATTGGGAATTTGAGGATATTAAGCATGTTATATTGCAGCACAGGCGTAAAATGGATTGGGGAGTTTTCTCCAGTATTGGGTGTGGTGGCGGAAATTTTATTAAGATTTTTTATTATTTTATTTTGGGTTTTTGTTTTAATGACCATATTTTGCCTACACGTATGTATTCTAAATGCAATTAGATGATCTAATATAATTAGCGATGGAGCCCGGAAGTAAGATAAGGGGACAATAATATATATTTTAAATTTTTTTAGAGGAAATAAAAATAATATTTTATGGATATATTATTGAAAATGAACAAATTATAAAGGTGTATTACTAAAAAAAAAAATTCAAGCAATTGCTCCTGAATTCTACGTAGCTCCGTCCTCGTATATTAGCTAGGGGTGGCAAATGGGTGGGGTGGGGTGGGTTGGGTCGGATTTGAGTTAGGTTAAAAATGAGTGGGTCAACATGGGTAAAGATCCATATTCAACCAGTTCAAAACGGATTAAAAATGGGTAAGGTCAATCTGTTATGACCCGTTGACCCATTAATTATTATTATTATTTATTATTTAATTATTAATTTTTTATACTTTTAAAAAAATAATAAAAATTTAGTAATTGAAAGATCAGAATTATGAATACAAATCATCAATTAAAAATGTAGGATTAGTTACCAAATGTTTACAACTTTATTAATAATGAAATTTTAGTAATGAAGTAGAAGTTGTGAATATGAACCATCAATTAATTATTGTATGTGTATATATTAATAAAAGAAATATATATATATATATATATATGTAGATATGTAAATGCTGTAGAGCAACCCCCATTCTCTTCCTTGGTAACTGCTGGTGGTCCTTCGTTGTACCAAACAGGCAAAGAGCGTGGAGCTTGCTATTCCCCATAAATTTATAAAAAAGGAGAAGCCATATCATAAATCCATACGTGTATATATATATATATATATATATGTACGTATATGTACGTATGGATTTACGTATACGTGTATATATATATGGATTTATGATATGGCTTCTCCTTTTTTATAAATTTATGGGGAATAGCAAGCTCCACGCTCTTTGCCTGTTTGGTACAACGAAGGACCACCAGCAGTTACCAAGGAAGAGAATGGGGGTTGCTCTACAGCATTTACATATCTACAGGCCCCACCTATATGTACAACAATATATAACATCAAATATTGTAACAATTATATATAACTAGTCAAACATGTATATGTTGCCAATTAGACTTTATACACATATGTGTGAGTGTGTATATATATATATACCATCGCTTCCAGCGCCATTGGAGCTACCATACCATGTTGCAGGAGCGAAAGACCAACCTGAATTAGATTGGATTTTTAATTTTTAAAATTATTTATTTATTTTTAATTTTTTTAATTATTTAAAATTTTTTATTGTTAAATTATTTTTTTTCCCAAAGGTTTTAAAATTTATTATTTTTTAATTATTTAAAATTATTTTTTAATAATTTTTTTTTTAAAAGAAATTTCTAGAGAGAGAGGATTGTGAGTGGGAGAATTTTAGAGAGATAAATAAGTTGAGTGTAATATAGAATAGATGTGTGTTGTATGTTTATTATGTGATTGATAAAATATGGGTTAAATATGATTAACCATATTCAATCCATTTTGACCTTCAAATTAAGTGGTTAAAGATTACCCGATTCATCTTAACCCTCAAACTAAATATGGTTCATCCATAATCATTAAAAGATGAACGGATATGGACAGATTGATGATTCCTGACCTATTTTATCACCTCTAATATTAGCAAATGTGGTTTGTTTTCAATATTGTTTTCCTTCTACTTGTTGAGCATAAAGTGCATAACAAACATATTTTATCACACAAAGTACAGAAATATTTTCTAAGAAGCTTCCAAAACAGTTTGAAAGTAGAGTTTGCACCAAATTTCTACATATACTCGCATGTGTGCTGAAAGTGTTTTTTAAGACATCTAAACATTTTTTTACACAATAATTACATTATAAGTTGGGATTCTTTGTTATTGTATTACATTGGACGGATCTCAATCCACATATATGTGTGAATGAACACTCACACATATAAAAAAAAATAGAATCCTGTCTGACACAATACACCACGTATACAGTATCACAGAGAATCTCTACTCCAAAAAAAATAAAATTATTGGAAAATGGTCTGCTCAGTCCCTTTTGGTGGAACAACTAACCTAAATCTAGACTTATAGGAAAGATATATGTATGTTTTTTCTTTTTTAACCTAACAGAATAAATGATTCGGCGGTTCTAGCCTCTGGGTCCATTTGGATGGAAAATGGGTATGTTATAGTAGTATACAATAAGAGTAGCAGAGGGTCAATTACGCCACTACATATACTTGTAATCTATATTGTCTTATAATATCAAGTTGTATGGTCATGATATTCATTTAACAAGGAAGGTTCTCATACTAGATATCTCTTGTTTTATCTTTTTATTTTTGATTCTTTTGGTTTTTGGGTGCATGTCCCACATTATAAGTCAAGGACGGCATTTTGGTAATTATCTTGGACAGGACAGGATGTATAGTAGTCCAGTGACAAAGAAAGGTGAGGCCTATAAAAGCGTTCAAGAAACACAATGGTAGAAGAACTAAGTTAGATAGAAGAGTTAGATATATATATATATATATAGTTTCAATATTATTGCAAATTAAGTCATATATATGGCTGTGGAAGAAGGGTCTCATGATGACTACACACAGGATGGTACTGTGGATCTCAAAGGCAATCCTGTCCGTAGATCTCAGAGAGGTGGATGGAGAGCTTGTTCCTTTGTTGTTGGTAATTCTCTCTCTCTCTCTCTCACACACACATACGCACACTGGTTACATTGCCACTTTTCCACTCCTTCTGGGGGCGCTTCCACCCCCAATGGCTCAATGAAACTTGGAAGCCAGGGTTTGTTCTTTTTCTATTTTTAGATCAATTTGGGTACCTGCCTTTCAAATGGGTGAAAACACAGACACACACACACACATATATGCGGCCTATTCACCTTATCAATATCTCAAATCCATTTATACAACTGAGATCAATATATATATATATATATATATATATATATATATATATATATATATGATCAATAGGCCTGTGGCCTAGCCGTATAAGGCTCCTACTACTTTAAACGAAGGTTAGGGATTCGAATCTGTGACCTATCCGTATAAGACTCTTACTTCAAAAGAAGGTCAGGGATTCGAATCTCAGTGGGCGTGTGAGTTAGGAAAATATATATATATATATATATATATATGTGTGTGTAGATGATATTTGTCGGTAGCTAATGAAACAACTTGCAGAGCATGGGTCTAACGTCCTTATTAATTAATACCTTCCATAAAACTCCAATTGAATCATCTACCTACTATTTTTTCGTTGTATCCTCTAATCTATTCACTTATTATGTCAGTTATAACTATGGGATGAACGAGAGTTTGAAATTAATAGCAACTTTTATTTATCAATTATCATATTATATATATATATATATATATATATATATCTTTTAGAAACACTGCTCATGGTGAATCTGGGCACTATATATGAAGAGAGAGAGAGAGAGAGGAAAGGAGTTAGTTTAACTGATCCAAGCACAGCTCACTTCATGAGATTTTGAAGTACGTTCATGATATATATATATATATATATATTTCCACTAGAACAAAAATATAATTTTTTTGATGCAGTGGTTATGTTAGTTGGTTCACAAGTCATGACCTTCTATCTCTCAAGCCAATTAATCAATTATGCAAAATTCAACTTATTTATTGTCCATGGGACACCCTTCTTTTTCCTTTTCTTTTAGTACGGGCCAATTCATATCACACATGACACTGCAACCAATTAAATTTTTGCAGTTATAGATGCACGATTGGTCTCTCCCCCAAAACTTTCCAATTGAATCCCCTATTGCAGGAGGATCTGCATAGTCGAAGATACCAAAACGATGTTGCTTATGTGTGTGCCAGCACAGAGCCCAGCTCGGACAATATATTGGTTGACTCTGCATTGGCATACTTAAACAACACCGTTTCGGTTCCTTTTGGATGCATCCGTTGGTGCATGCATTCCTCCACATAGGAGGGGACCACTCTTAAGAAATTTTTCAATAATTATTTTGTGCATGTGAGACGGAGAGACTATATTTGTCTAATAGTAAATGACCGACACCATATTATTTGTTAAAAAAGAAAAAGCTTCAATACAATGAAAAGACCATTTATGACCGGTTTTTACTATTTAAAATTACTCTTATAATGACCTTTGGTCCTTAAAGTCTAATTAAACCAACTCATAATAATAATTGTACCTCTTATTAACAGTAAAAGCAAGCCTCCAAAGCTTGATTAAATGGATCTAATCCATATCTTTATGTTGAACTTTGGTGTTGATGATGTTTCAACTTTTTGTTGACTTGAAACAGTGTATGAAGTGTTCGAACGCATGGCCTATTATGGTATTTCATCAAATTTGATCATATATTTGACCCACAAGCTACATCAGGGTACTGTCAAGTCCTCCAACAATGTCACCAACTGGGTTGGGACAATTTGGATGACCCCAATCCTAGGTGCCTACGTGGCAGACGCCCATCTCGGCCGCTATTGGACGTTCCTGATTGCATCTGGAATCTATTTCATGGTATGCCTCATGCACACTCAATATTTTCAATCTAAATTTTTCATCATGACTTGATCATTTTCTTTACACTTTTAGAAGTATTATAAATTTGTTTCTATATGAAACGCCAACAGAATCGAGTCTAGCTTAGATCATTTGTTGATTCATCTTTGCAATTACATGCCATATATTGTGGGACCCTTTTGCATGCATTATTAATTTTTGGGTACTTTCATTGTATTTGATCATGTCATACTCTGAAGATAATTGAATTATGACCATATTTTTTTGAAAAATAATGTATAATTAAATATTACCAAATACAAGACCTGGATATAGTTTGGATTCAGTTCTCAATAATTTAATTATGATGGCTTACACTTTAACTAATAATAATAATAATAATAATAATAATTTAATTATGACCATATTTTTTAATAAGAATTTATAAAAATACAAAAACAAGACCTGGTGATGGTTTGTTTAAATGGTGATTGACAACTTCATTGGATGACTATGGGTCCAACTTTCTAGATTTCTGCACATGAGACAACTTGCCAACATGGATAGAGCTACCTATATATATATTATTTACTATATTTATATAATTATAAAAATACATGTGTGTGAATATACGAAGATCTTGACTTTTGCAAAAGTAGAGTATGAAGACAAGTGGTTCACATACAAAATTGCACATGAGCAAAATCTATAAATTACTATTAATAAGTCGAGTACTGTGTCAACTTGTCAACATGGATAGAGCTACCTATATATATATATATATATATATTATTTACTATATTTATATAATTATAAAAATACATGTGTGTGAATATACGAAGATCTTGACTTTTGCAAAGATACAGTATGAAGACAAGTGGTTCACATACAAAATTGCACATGAGCAAAATCTATAAATTACTATTAATAAGTCGAGTACTGTGTCAACTTGGACAAAAAAATTCGATTGGTCCAGAGATTTGACTTTCAAAACTAAATCTCTTGAAGCATTTCTCAATTTTTCTTGAATCTATATTTAATTTAACTTCAAGATACTAAGATTAGAGAAATTGGACTGACCGATTTTTAAAGTAGGAATATTTTTCTTATATTTATAATAATTAAATTAAGTGAATACTTTTACAGTAATACTTTTAGTAAAAGGGAGGGCCTTGCATGCCTATGCAACCCTTAATTAGTTGGTAAAGTGAAAAACTCACCTACTGATTTAATGCAAAGTTATTGTATGTGTACCAAAAGTTTGAATTTACTTACTATATCTGAATTTCTCATACTTCACCCTATACTACAATGAAAAGGACACGTGTACAATAGAGTTAGGAAAGCTTTATTTGAAATGCAAACTACTATCTTCATTCAAAATTTATATAATATATACACATATAAACATGCACATGTGACAAAAAGGGGCATGCTTCTGTTGATTGTAGGGGAAGTGAGTTTTCTACAATTTTTAATTGTTTTTTTTGTCCAATTATTGATAATTCGTAATAGATAAAATAGACTTTCTTTCGTCTTAAAGTATTTATCTCAATGGTTGTTACGTGCAGAATCGATCCAGACTTTCATCATTTTCATTTGAGTTGGTAAAAAAACATCACATATTCACAAATCAAGTAACAATAAAGAAAAACCCTTGACCACCATTTGCATATCTCATCTCATTCATCTACCAAGAACTTTTATATACTTCAAAGCTGTCTGTATATATACATACATCAAAATTTGTGTACACACTCATTTGAAGTTGGGCTGAAATTGTATTTGATTGCAGGGAATGTGTGTGTTAACACTATCAGTTTCAGTCCCTGGACTAAAACCACCTGTTTGTCATGAAGTTAATACCGCAGACTGTAAGAAGGCCTCAACCACACAGTTAGCTGTGTTCTTTTTTGCACTGTATACACTAGCTATTGGGACTGGTGGGACGAAGCCCAACATTTCCACGATCGGTGCAGACCAATTTGACGACTTTGAGCCCAAGGAGAAAACCCAAAAGCTCTCATTCTTCAATTGGTGGATGTTCAGTATCTTCTTTGGCACCTTTTTTGCCAACACCATTCTTGTATACATACAAGACAATGTGGGCTGGGCACTGGGCTACGGGCTCCCAACCGCGGGCCTCGCCATATCCATTTTGATCTTCTTGGCTGGCACTCGACTTTACAGGCATAGGGTGCCCACAGGAAGTCCTTTCACAAGGATGGCTAAGGTCATTGTGGCTGCCCTGAGGAAGTGGAGGGTACCCATTCCTAATGACCCCAAAGAACTATATGAACTTGACTTGGAAGTGTACACCAAAAAGGGGAAGTTTAGGATTGATTCCACGCCCACTTTGAGGTTTGTACTAATATATCCTTTAAATCTTTATTAGAATCCGGATCCTCTGCAGCTGTTGTACTAAAGTGGACGACCAGAATCATTTGCACGTGCAAGTGATCCAGACAGAGAATCCGGATTCCTATTCTTGACCTTATGCTTTGTTTAACTAAAAAAGAGCCATGTATTGGCCCCTAAAGTTGCACCCCTTGCCTAAATGCTTCTTCTAATGATACTTTTATGTCACATTATATGATGCAGGTTCCTCAATAAAGCTTGTGTGAAGACTGGTTCAACTGATCCATGGATGCTATGCTCAGTTACCCAAGTTGAGGAGACCAAACAAATATTAAGAATGTTACCAATTTTGGTAGCAACCTTTGTTCCTAGCACAATGATTGCGCAGATCAACACTCTTTTCATTAAGCAAGGCACTACTCTTGATAGAAATCTTGGCAGCTTCAAAATCCCCCCGGCCAGCTTAGTAGGTTTTGTGACCTTCTCTATGCTTGTTTGTGTTGTTCTATATGACCAGTTCTTTGTCAAGATCATGAGAAGGTGGACAAAGAATCCTAGGGGCATATCCCTCCTCCAGAGAATGGGAATTGGTATGGCATTTCATATCTTCATAATGATGATCGCGTCGCTCATTGAGAGGCATAGACTAAGTGTTGCCAAGGACCATGGTGTAGTTGAAAGTGGAGGCCAAGTGCCTTTAACCATATTCATTTTACTTCCTCAATTTGTGCTTATGGGAACTGCTGATGCATTTCTAGAGGTAGCCAAGATTGAGTTTTTCTATGACCAAGCACCGGAAAGCATGAAGAGTCTTGGGACTTCCTATTCCATGACTACTTTAGGAGTTGGGAATTTCATCAGTAGCTTCCTTCTGTCAACAGTTTCTCACATCACCAAGGAGCATGGTCACAAAGGATGGATTCTCAATAACCTCAACGATTCTCATCTCGATTATTACTATGCATTTTTCGCCATACTGAACTTCTTGAACTTCATTTTCTTCTTGGTCGTGATCAAGTACTATGTGTATAAGGCTGAAGTTTCAGATTCGATGGAAGTGCTTAGAGATGAGTTAAAGGGATCGATGACACCTAGGGTCTCTAACCAAGTAGAGTTGACATAGATTGACCAAATGAAAAGGGAAAAAAACAGATTTAAACTTGGTGAAACAAGTAAGGAATGGTTTCTGAGCAAGCTATCTGTCTCGAAGAACAGTTCTTTAAGTTTCAAGCAATCAATTGATGGTGTGGCTTGGTTGTGATGGATTACTAATACAGTGTGTGTGAGTGTGTGATTTTCACCTCTTAACGAAAGTACTGTATACACTTGGTAAAGGAAAGGAAAAGAATGCAACATTGTTGTGTATAGGCTTGGAAGTGGTTCTCATGATCATCTGTCTATATATCTATTTACTGGAAATGGTTTGGAAGACAGATGCATTCACTTTTTTTTTTTTTTTGAAAGTTCAATTTCAAATATATGTAAAAAAAAAAAAATGTACAAGCCCATGAATAGGGGAGATTGTGGGCTAGCCCAAGACTAACCAACAGCACAAAAGTTTTTAACATACAACTCCGTATAGAAGAGGCCCAAGTCCACAAGGAAGCTAACCCAACCCCAAATTTAAAGAGGTAGCCGTTGTGACAGTGTCAACACATCCGATGAAAACTGTTGGACAGATGCATTAACTTGAAAGCCTCTTTCTTGAGTATTATTTTATTTTATTTTATTTTATTTATAAGTTTCTATCAATTTTAGATGTTATGACATGCCTTAGAAGACCTTGAAAATTAGAAATGTGTGGGAAACTAAGAAGTACGAATACTTCTATGAAATGTCTATGTCCAACACCGATATTTTATTGACACTTACTGAACACATTTCAAACACTTAATAATCATATCATAAAACAATAGGAACATATATCAAAGTATCCAACTTCTTATTTATTTATTTATTATTATTATTATTTTTAAATTTACATTAAATACATTTCATATAAAAACATAATTGCAATGACATGGCAGAATATAATAATATTATATGTAAAAAAATATTTTCCTTTTGATATTCAATTAGTTAATAGTATTATATATAAAAAAATATTTTCCTTTTGATATTCAATTAGTTTCACCTTCTAACTGATATTAACTTAAGTATAGAAATTATATAATAATTAAAATTACATAATTTTTTATTCAATTGATATATAAATAAAAACTTATATTTATATTAGCTGTATACATATCATATCTATATATATATTAATTTTTTTGAATTTGACTTATCAGCATGTCCCATGTATGTGCTTCTTCTTAATTGGAAACAAAATTACTATGCTATACTCCCCACATGTTTGGAATTGGGAGTTTAGACTGCTTTTGCTAATATTTCACCAAATGCTAGACAGTTCTATGTTTTGATGTAAAGATTACATCTTTGAATGTGCAAGAAATTGCTTTCTCTATTAGGAAAGTTTATTTTTTACACTTTAATCGAATTCTTTACATTTTTGCCTCTTCTTCTATGCATAGAAGTGTCTACTTACTCTAAAAATCCTTTGTTCTTTTTAGACTTTCACATAATATGGGCGTCATTTCTTCTTGATGGGCTTGTTCTTCACTTGGGCCGATCTCTTGGTCAAAACAAGCCTTGCTCTTGGTCAAAGCAAGCCTTCAATGAGTGATCGGGCTGGAGGTCTCTGGGCCTCCTTCTTTACTGGTGGGCCGGGCTGGCCCTGGCCAGTGGGGTTTTTTGCCCCCCTCAATCTTGTATTCCACATATTTTGCGGCCTAAGAGCATCTCCAATGGTGTGCTATATTGGCTGCCATTTTCAAAATATAGCAGGTGGGCCTAAAATGGGATTTCCAATGGTGTGCTATATTTACTGCTATTTCAGAAAGAGAACGACAAGGGGGGGGGGGGGGTGTTCAGATATATATATTTTTAAAAGATTAAATTTTTTTTCACCAAATAGGATTTAGTTTGCAAAACAAGAATTACAAACCTTGATTAGTTGATTTAGAAAAAAAAAAATTAAAACAAAACCCATACGTACAAGTTAGCAGTTGCAGAGTGAGAGGGGGGCAAGCTTGAGAGTTGAAAGATAGCAGCTGAAACTTGAGAACGGTGAACTTGTAATAACCCTAGTTTTCAAAAGGATAAAATGGAAATTTAAATTTGATTTCTGGTGCATTTTATTTGGTTATTTGACTTATATGTTTATTTGCGTAATTGTCTAATTGTGTATTTATTTAATTATTTATTGAGTTGTGATTGTTTATGTGTTTTGAATGATTTATTTAATTATAATGATTTATTTGCTTTACTTTATTTATTTGTTTTAAGTGTAATTATTTAATTAGGTATTTAATTGTAATTACAGATATATTTATGGTGACGTAATTGTTTAGTCGGTTGTTTAATACAGTGTTTGCGTTAGAATTAAGTTTAGGGTTTTATTTTATGTAATTAGGTTAGCCGACTTATGATTAGGCTGGAATTAGGATTATGGTTTTAGAAGAGCCTATATATATACGCTATATGTCTGCAAGGGTTTTAGAACCCTTTTTCCCGTAACTCAAAGTAGAGAGAAAACAGAGAGGGTTTGAGGGGAAAACTGTAATACCCCTAATTTTAAAAGGATAGTCCTGGAATTTAATTTAATTATTTATTGTATTTTTATTAAATTAATTGATTATTTGTTTGTTTTGATTAATTAATTATTTGCTTATTTGATTTATTTTATTTTTAATTTAGTTAATTGTGTTTTTCTTTCATTAATCGTTTTAAATTGTGTTTTCTTTAATCAATTGCTTAAATTGTATTTTGGTTTGTTTCATTAATTTAAATGTATTTCTCAAGTTTAATTAATTACGTGTTTATGTGAATTCACTGTTTTGGTAATCAGGGTTTCATGTTTTACATCGTGTCTAGGATTGGAGCCGACATATAATTGGTTTAGGCTTTACTTTAGGGTTTGGTTTAGGATTTAAATTAGGGTTTCAATTAAAACCTATAAATACATAAGTATGGGTTGCCAAGGGTTTTGTTAACCCTATTCACGTAAAAAAAAAGAATTGTGAGAGACAAAGAAACAGAGAGTGAGTCTGACTAATATACAGAGAGGCTCAAGGAGGAAGGAGTGGAGTGCTTTTGGGTTGAACCAAGAGCACCGAAGGTGGTGAACGACAGCCTAGGACCTTGACGGGAAATCCAGAGACGTTGGTTTACAGTTTCAAAATCTGAAACTACAGGCAAGTTCTGTTCTTCTCTTTCCTCTGTAATTTGTGTTCTGTGCATGCCTAGGTAGTCTCCAGGGATTTAATAAGGTTTAAAATGGATTAAATAGATGTTGTAACACGTCTTTTATGCATGAACATACAGTATTTAATTTCGTTGTAATAATTGGGTTTGAGTTTGCTTAAAGTTACTAGTCGAATTTCTACTGCCGTTATGTTTAAAAGATTCCGTTAAATCCATGTTGTGGATGTATAACCATGGTTTAAGATTTTGTCTGGGTCTAAGATTTAATCCTAGAACCAGTATTAAAACAGGGTTGGAGTTTACAGAATTAATCTGTTTTGAAATTGGTTAAATTTTCTAACTGAAAATTCTGTTGTCGTAGTTTTCAAACGGTGTGTTCAATTCATGTCGTGGTTGTATACCATGGATTTAGGGTTAATTTATAACATTTAATGGAACCCTAGAACATGTATTAAATTATTTACAGAGGCTTGGGTATCGCCGGATGCGAGGAAGATGAAGTGGAAAAACGCAGAACGCGCCGGAAAGAGAGAGAGCAGGCTCTCAAAATGAGAGAGCCAGCTCCCTCACACAAAGAGCTTGCTCCAAGGAGCATGGAGCCGGCTCCATGCTGAAAAGAGCAGGCTCCCTTAGTTAGGGAGCCGGCTCCAACATTTAAAAGAGCATGCTCAAATTTTATGGAGCATGCTCTCACCCAAATGCACACAAATTGGACTTTGGGCACTGTATGGACTGTTCAGATGATTACCACTTCGTATAAATTGTTTAATTGATGTCTTAGGACTATAATAGGCTTAATATATTATGGGAAACATTAATCCATGATTAAGCATAAGAATGGAGCAAAATAAATCTAAGGAAAGCGGTAGATTGCAAACTGATTTTCTATTGTCGTTGGTTTCAAATATTGTGTTCAGTACATGTTATGGTTGGATGTTAGAGGTTTATGATGTATCTAGGATTAAGATTGAACCTAGAACAAGGATTAAAAACATCACAGAGGGTGTAAGAAAACACCGGAGTTGAAGAAGATGAAGCCGGAACGGACAACGGCATGCAAGGGAGCAAGAGCAGGCTCCAAAAATGGAAAGAGCCAGCTCTAATATTCTTAGAGCAGGCTCTTGGCTGTTTAGAGCAGGCTCTTAGATCCATATAGCCAGCTCAATCCATAAAAGAGCAGGCTCAATTTTTCTAGAGCCTGCTCTTGCCCAGAAATCTCAAACAGTATGATTTTTATGCGTTAATTGGATTGTACAGTGCATTAGGACTTCGTTTAACTTATTTTAAGTGTTGTATGGGCTGTTATAAACCTATAATAACATGGAAAAATAATAACTCAAAAATGGATTAAAGGATGGACTATATAAGTAAATAAGACTTAGGTGTTGCACACGGTTGGACAAGTTTTATTGGCACTGAAACTTAATAAGGATTGTGTATATGATTTAATTATAAAAATATATCATATTTCCATAGTATTATAAGTATAGTGAATTAACTAAAAATTCCCTATGCTTACCTTGGGTTTAATTGATACTCGAATTTCTATTAACGGTATCAATTCGTGAACTATATTGGAAGATTTGCTAGGTTTATATACCTGAGCTTGGCAAGGTTGTTGTGTATGATTTAAATATATATATAAATCATAATTCTATAGTATTTGAAGTATAGGGAATTAACTGAATTTTCCTATGCTTACCTTGGGTGTAGTGGATACTTAAATTTCTATTAACTGTATCAATTCTTGGACTATGATGGAGAATGTGAATGCTTAAATTTATTGCAGCACTTTATATAATTGGAATTGGATTTTAGGCCGTACTGAATGCCTATTATTTATGTCTATGCATTAAGTTTATCTTGTGCATATTGTGGAATATGGTTGATGACTATTTAATAATGGTATGGTCAACTGTGTTAACTGGAGGATTGTATGTACCGGTATGGGACGGTGACATACTAGGTATGATTAGTTAAAACACTAATTGTAATACCCCGTAATTTTAAAGAATGTATTTAAATTAATTTTGTGTTAGGTTAATTAATTTTATTTATTTGTGCATACTACATTATTTTATTAAATTCATTTAATTGTGCATGTAAATTAATTGTGTATGTTAAAATAGTAAATTTATTCATTTAATTGTGCATGTATTATTTTAATTACTTTTATTTGTTGATTATGTTTAATTAA